GCGCCTGTAGTCCCAGCTACTTGGGAGGCTGAGGCAGGAGACTCACTTGAGCCCAGGAGTTGGAGGTTGCTGTGAGCTGTAATGCCATGGCACTCCATCCAGGGGGATAGCTTGAGGCTCTGTCTCAAAAAAAAAAAAAAATTTATGTTGGGGGTCACCACAACATGAGGGACTGTATTAAAGGGTCGCAGCACTAGGAGGCATTAGGAAGGTAGAGAACCACCATATTAGAGGAACAGAAAGGTCTGATTTGTTGGAAGCCAGGGGGTGACAGTTCCTGAGATTAGGTCTAAGAGGTGAATAAACACAGCGAAACATTACAGACCCTTTTAGTTTAAGTGCAAATTGGAAGTGTGTAGGTGGCATGGTTAATATTTTAAAAGATTCACTCTTGCCTGACATATGGATTGAAATGGGAAAGAGTGGAAAGAAGATACCATTCTGAAGGCTAATGCCATTGTCTAGGTGAGAGATGGCAGTGGTCGGGTAAAAGTGGTGATAGAAAGATAGAAAAGTGTATGTATTACGAAGGGAGAGTGCCAGAATTGTTGATAGGAGTGGTAAGGTGACCAGACGTCCCACTTTTGGTGGGACAGTCCTGATTTTTAACAATTTGTCCTGTGACCCATGGCATTTTTTAAAACTCCCAGTTTTTGGAAAGAATGTAGGACAAGCTAGGGACAGTGGGAGAACAGGAAGGGAATATACTGAAAAGGTTAATCTAACTCCATTTGGGAATGAAGAGGTTAATGTAACTTCATTTGGAAATGAAAAGGCTAATGTAAACTCCCTACTCCCCTCCTGGGCAAAGGTATCAGAAGGAGACTGGCTCCCTCCCTTGCTTCTAGGCAAGGACAATTAGCTCAGAAGGAGCCAAACTGTCTGGAACAAAGCCAAGCATTGTGGCAGACGCCTGTAGTCCTAGCTACTTGGGAGGCTGAGGCAAGAGAATCACTTAAGCCCAAGTTTTTGAAGTTGCTGTGAGCTATGATGATGCCACAGCATTCTATCCAGGGCAATAGAGTGAGAGTTGGTATCAAAAGAAAAAAAAAAAGAAAAAGAAAGAAAGAAAAGAAAAGAAAAAGGCACCAGTCATGCAAAGGGAAGGGAATTCCAAGCAGCCATAGCATCTTTGCAA